TTTGTGCCTAACTTTAGATCTTTTCTTGTTTCCCTTTTTGCCAGGATGGAGAATACATTTTGAGATACTTCCCTCCAATAATCTACGCTAAGGAGACATATTTACTAAAGTAAGATTTTTCCTTTACATAGCCATCAAACAGGTGCTTCTGAGGGAAGTTTAAATTTTCTGTCTTTGTTTCGTTGGATAAAAAAAAAACCACGGGAAAATGGGACTGAAAAATGTGCCCAAATGGGTATTAACGAAAATTTTTTTCTTTTGAAATGTAGACTCAGGGAACTCCATGCCACCCAGTTTCAGCCGTATACGTTTCCCCTTTTTGTTGACGAAATAATTTTTTTGGAAAAGAGACCCACCCAAAAGCTGTGCTCTTAGAAGACGTATAAAGGAAGTTTAATTTTTCCGTGAATCAACATCACTTTAGTGATGCATGCGCCAACAACTTTTCTATGTCTGCCCAGTGAAATACATGACCACAAAGTTTCAATATTATACGTTTGCCCTTTTCGCCGGTGAAAAAAAACATACTTGGAAAAGCCGACCCACCAAAAGCTATGCCCGGAGGGAGTGCACCTAGAAACCTGAATACTCCCTCAGCCCAGTAACATCATGTCACTTATACATGTGCCAATTTCACCTTTCCATTTTTGTCCAATTCGCTACAACAATTTTTTTTTTCAAAACATCAGCCCGCAAAAAAAAATTACCCCAGGGGATGAATCGAGACTTAACATTTTTATTTAACTCCTTGTCACAGTAGTCACAGTCAAGCAGAGTTTCAGCTTTCCATGTTCATCAGTTTAACTGATGCTAAAAACTTAGTTGAAAACATCTCCCTTTGAAATTTGTGTCCCCAGGGCATTTACTTCCAAAGTCTGAATTTTTCTGCACGCAGCATCGCGGTAGGTAATTATGTACCAAGTTTCATCTTTCCACACTAGCTCAATACACACCTTATGTTGTGGTGGTGGTTGTCACCCCAACGCGCGAGGCCTATGAGACTGTCACTTCAGGCCATAAGTAAGCCCATCCACCCCACAAACCACCACGTCCATGAGGCTTTGCTATTCTAGGCCATAGGCTTGGCCATCCAACGCTTTAAGCACAAGGTCCATCGGGCTATATCAGTCTGAGCCATAGGCTGTGGCTCATCCTATTATTGCCTTAGGCTTTATACTTAGATGTATGAATGAAAGGGTCCTACTAACTGAATGCGAGTCACGTTTTCGCTGATCGACTGTAAGTTCTCCAATTGAATACATTCTTTGCTGGAGCATTTTTTTTCTGTATGTATTTTTTTTCCGTTAGGTCAGGCATGGCGGTTCTGGACATCGCTTCCATGCAATAGATTTCTGTTTGCGTTTCATGTCATGGCCGATTTATTTGAGTTCTCATGATTGATGAAATCAAAATAACGTAGGTTCTTTGTTTCATACGTCGCGCAAACGCGCCACTCCTCTCATCAAAGTGGCGATTTTTATGAGGTGAGGTTGAACGTGAAAAGAAAATGTTGAAAGAGGTCCCACTGGACGGCGATGGGGCAGTCGCTGAAGATAATAATGAACGACTGTTGAACATAATAATAATCGATTGGTGCTGGCGCTGAAACAACGTTTGCCAATAGAGTTGCGGTGCGAAGTGCCTAAATCGGTGCTAGCCGTAATGGCTAGTCTCCAGGCTGATGAACAGCAAGCAGATGTACGTAGGGAGCGTAGGGCCGCTCAGTCCTCTGAACAACATGGGGCAACGAATGCTGAGCTCCGGAATAGGAAAGCCATGCAGCCTGCTGAACAACTTGATGCGAGAAACGCATCACTTAGGTGTCAAAAGCCGGGGGGGGGGGGCCGGGAATTGAACTCCGACCACCTGCTTGCATGTCAGGTGTGCTACTGTCACACCACGGAATTCGGGATGTTATGCCTCTCAATGTCATCTCAATCACTACAGTCTTTGGCCACAGCGAGCACTGTCAGGCTGTTCATTTTGATGTAGGGAGGGGGCATTTGTTTCACGTTGCTGGCACGACAGAAAAATGCTCATACCGCAACTCACACTTTACCCTGGGGCTCTGAAAGTGTTGCTCACTGGTGCTAATATGGCGGCGAGGCATTTTCAGGAATTAGTCGTAAGCATTGTGCCGCACGTGCACTAACTTCCTTCTGCGCCGTCGAACAAGTTTTTTTTTCTGGAAATGGACCGTACTGTTTCAGAATCATTGGTGTCTGTACCACACGCTAACGCTAATTTCCCATCAAGTAATCGGTGATGCAAGAGTATTGAAGTGCTAGGAAGGTGAGGAAGGAAGTGCTAGGACAAAATTAGCAAAGTCGTATTGAGTCTCATGAAAACGTATGAAACCGAGGCGTTCATAATGGCGATTGTGTGAATGAGCTCGAATATCATGATGATGGTGTTTGGGAACAGAATCTCTTGCAATCTCTCTGCGTACTGTAAGCTATATGTGTATAAATGTAATGAAGCGGTTCAGTTCCGAATGGGCATTGCGTTGAAAAGAGGATTGTCAAGGAGACGTTATGCTCACAATAGACGATTCAAATTTCCACCTATTAGACGGATAGCGTAGTGGCAGCAGGCCAGTAGTACTCTCTTGAAAAAATGGTGAGGAGTTGGACCCGAGGGTGGCCATGCAACCATGAAGGATGTTGGACACCATGGTGAGCATTCTCACCCTACTTTCTAGGCGATCATTCTCACCCCTAAGATGGCTGGCCAGTGACAAATCATGCACAGGTGCTGGATCTCATCTTCATTTTTGGCTATGTAGAGGCCGGCGGTTTGAAGTAATGACGCAATATATATTTCCTATTATGTTTGCAACATGCACAATACTAAAATTGACTAGGTTCCCGTCAGTCGCGTCTTAATCTATTTTGAAATGTGTCAAACATTCTTGAAAACAAGGTATGCCCTTCCTAGGCAGAGGATATTGCAGCAGGGACTGCCGGATAAAACTTCCTTCAGTAAATGAAATTGTATTCACAGGGAATGAAGTCATACCTTTAGCGTGTAATGCAGCTTTTCAAGAGGAGCAGATGGTGAAATATCTTCAAATTCATCATGCAGGTACCGAACTTTTCCTTGCAATCTATTCAGCGCCGCATTGAAGTCTTTGCTGGGATCAGCGGCTAGGCAAAGAACAGCTTCGTGTTTCTTTAGAAGATCATGGAGTTGGTCCCATTTTTCATTGATCTTAGCTTTTTCGAAGCTATTCTGCCTTTCTGGGCTGTCAGTATCTAATTTCTCCAATAGTGATTGTTCCAATTTATTCAGATGCTGGCGCCAATGGGAGTGCGCATTTAAGTCATGGAGAAGAACTTTGACTTGCTGCAGCTGATATTCCACATTCCTATCATCAGTTGCAACAGGACCAAGCCCACTTATAAAGTTATCCAGGGAGGTGAGCCATTTTGAGAAATCATCTGTCTGCGATAGGAATTTATTGATTTCTTTGAAGAGGACCGTTTTTCTTATGCATAGTTCTTTCAAACCTGACCACATGTTCTTCACTTCTTGATGAAAATCAGAAGCACCAGCAGCTTCGCCGTACTTACGTAGCATCGCCGAGTAATTTATATTGAGGCTATCTATATCAGGTTTAAGACTACGAAGTTTACTGTTTATGTCTCTCACTACAAACAACAGCGTGTCAGTCTCCTCTTTTGACTGAGGCACATCATCTTTGGGCATTCGGCGCGTCAGTTTATCCAAGGCATCTTTAAGCACCTTGGTAGAATCAAGGTGCTTTCTCAGCTCATTCACGCCCTCCAGAACTTTTTGATGATCAGACAACTTCATTTCTAATGCATTATAACGAATTCGTATGTCTTTCAGCTGCCTTTTGATATCTGCAGTCAGCCTACGACTTCCCTTTCCACCTGGATCCTTATCATCAAGGAAGTTTATCCTACTTGAGATAGATGTTGTGGAGGAAGGCTTTGATAATGTCAGAAAGCTTCCTTTGTAAGAAAGGGTCTTTTGTCTCTCAGCCTTCAATTTAGCCCTCAGGGCATTGCCAACATCATTGACTCTTTTAATGGTGGGACTATAGTCACGATGTTTCTCGACCAGGAATTTCAACTGGTTAATTTCCTGTGTTACAAGGCTCACTTCTATTATAACTTGAGGGAGGCATTCCACTGCGCTTTCCATGTCCGTCATCCATTCCAGAACTTGATCTCTCAAAGCTTCATACCGGTTGCGATGCACTTGAGCTGACTGATTTATTTTCTGCATCTCATCAAGTATGAGATTGAGTTTTTCCCATTGTTCCTCGAAAGCGATTATTTGTTTCTCGATTGGCTGACCATCTGTCACATTTTTCCTGCCAAGCAGGTTTTTGCCTGTGTAAATCATGTTCTCAAATTCCTCCCTTTTGTTATCTCGGCTAAGCACGAGATCAAATTCATGGGAGGATGTATGGTGAATATCAGATTCAAATGCCTTTGGAGAATGCAAAACTTCCGATATTTCTGCAAAAAAATCTTCGAAAGTTTTGGCAAAAGTTGTGAATCTTTTCAGATTGAAGGAGATATCTTTTAGGAATTTTTTGAGAGCACTGCATTTTGTTGCAATATTCTCATATCGAGATGCAATTTTTACGAGTGTCTTTTCATCAACAATATTGTCTACCCGCTTGCTGGAGGAAGAAGTCATGAGTTCTTTAGCAGTCTTAATGAAATATTCTATATTTGGGAGTAGAACATTTATATCATGCTGGAGCACCTTCTGCTGTTGCAGCTGAAGCTTGAGTTCATCGCGATTCAGGCTGGCCCGCTTTCTCATTGTACGTAATCTAACCTCAACTTGATCGAGGCAATTCATCACAGAATCATTCCCCTTGCCAACATGAAAAGTAACCATAGCTAATTTCAACTCTTCATCCTTCTCTATGATTGTTCTTAACAGCTGGTCGTACTTGTAGTCAAGATCTTTCAACGTAGAGTTAATTTCTCCCCTTCGTTGATAATTCAAGGATTCGTTCAGCGATTCCAGAAGCGATTCCCTGCTTGCTTCGTGCTGTCTAGACGATGGCGTTGAGACTGAATGTCAATGCTCATCATATTAACTTCGTCCAACTGATATTTAATGGCTTTCGGTTCAACAACTGTAGATTTATTGACTAGCTTTGTCACCTTTGGTCCTACATCTTCTAACCAAGCCTCCATTCCACATACACATTCAGCATACTTTTGCTGCTTATCCCTCATAGAAACGAATTCCTCAGATAGCCGTTTGGCACGTAAAAGGAGATCTTGGAAGACTGCAGAAATATCCATAACGTTGCATTGAACAAGGGAGTCCGAGGATTCGATAGGTGAATATCTCTGTTGAAGTCCTGTTCTGAATTCATTTAGGATATCCAAGTGAACCTGCAAGACGCATAAAGATGCATAAATTCCAACATACAAGGGGCACTCAGAAAGTTCTGATAATTTCTGCATAATTCCAGAGTACCTTCCTAAATCATCTCCATTATCCTACGACTTTTCCACATAGTCCCCACTGAGTACGATGCGCTACCTCCAGCGCGGAATAATTTTCCATTGAACATCAGAAAATATTTATTTTGAGTGTTTCTGATCCACTTATTTATTGCAGCTTTCATCACTGTACATTGAGGGAATGAAAGCGCACTCCTCGCAAAGGCGAACTCATCTCGCCGAAGAGGTAGTATTCACTGGAAGCCAAATCTGGCCAGTAGGGCAGGTGAGGAAGCACCTCAATTCTACCACGGCTGCTCCACTTAAGCGGGGTGTGGGGCCTTGAATTGTCCTGCTGAAGTAGGCAATCTCCCAGGACGTTTTTCAGTGAGAGCATCTCAGAGAGGGCCCAAAAGCATATTCGAAAAGTATTCTGCATTCATTGTATTACCTTTTGGTAAGTAGTGGATCGCTTTATTATCCTTTTGCAATCCCAGAAAGCCGTAATCATAATCTTCTCCAAAGAGGGAACAGTTCGAGCCTTCAAAGGAAGGTGCTTCTTCAGATTTGCGACACTCCTTAGATTGTGATTTGGTTTTGGGATCGCTGTAGGGAGCCACGTCTCATCTACAGTGATAATACGGTAGAAATAACTCTCCACGTATTCTTGGCTAAGTTGAAGCAGCTCTCGACACGCTTTCATTCCATCGACCTTTTGTTAAGGTCTCGATAGGAGAGGCACCCTCTTGAAGACACCTTCGTCATACCGAAATGATCATGGGGAATCTCATGAGCCTTGCCGCTGCTGACCCACTTGGGGTCAGTAGCGGCAGGAAGCTCCCGAACGGTAGATCGTCGATCTTTCATTAGAATACTTTTGCAGCGAGAATTTTTTCATCGGTTGTAGCCGTTCGAGGGCGACCGATGCGAGGGTCATCTCCTAAGGTCGGGCGACAATAGTTAAACCGCTCCAGCCATCGGTAAACGGTACTCTTCGATTCGGCAGATTATCCAAAGACAGTCAGCTGACTGAACGATCTCAGAAACGCGTACCCCTCTCCGCAAAAAGAAAATAATCTATACCTGAGCTTTCACCGCGTCGTCCATGGCTTCGAAAAATGCAACTGAACTGAGATGAATAGCTCCGCTCAGGAGGTTATTCGGGCAACAATACTTAATTCAATACTAAACAACGTAAGTCTAAAACCAAAACCACTGATCAGAATAGGCTAAGTTCGACTTCATCCAGTAATCTGACGGAATTCCAAGAAAGTCTCGAACGTCCTTTGTACATCATATATATTCGGGCTGTCAGTTCGATGAATTTAATCGATCGATTAAGCTATTAAAGTGTTATTTTATAATAACATTATGAGGGGAAAAATAAGCATTCCGAGGGAGTTAGGGGTCGATTAAAATTAGATTATTTTGACTGATTCCACCGCGATCAATACATTATTCTATTAATCGGTCAATTAAATAATTAGAATTGACAGCCTTATTACACACTAGTGGCCAATATTGAGGAAACACGTCACAAAAGAAATTTATTTGCATAAGAATACTATTGTTATTTGTATTTGGATCCCATGAAAAAAACAATTCGATCGCAGTCACTGATAGCTAAGTGGTAGTAATTCATGAGTGACATTTTCATAGTAATGAAAATACCAGTATATGAATTGGTCCTACAATGAAGAACATATAAAAACAAAAATTCCCAAGCAGCATGTTTACGTAAACACGATATCAATTTTTTGCAAACAATGTAAATTTCTTGCGATTGCCATGAAAATGACATCACGTTTACGTAAAATTTACGTTCCTATACTTACGTCACCAAAGTGTATGTGTATTTTCCATCAACCTGACATGGTTTGCGTAAAAATGATATAAAATGGACAAAAAAATTACATTCATTTTACGTAAAATTAACATAAACATGCTGTTTGGGTTAATGTGGTATGAGAAAGGAAGCCTATATAAATTATTATATCTAAAGATTATCAAGAACACTTTCAGAGTAGCATAGACTATTCAATGCAATAACTTATCATTTAATTAAACTATGCTATATTTAAATTATACCCAAGAAATGATACACTTAGGTATTTAAATATCACCTATTAACTGCAAATAATATATTTATTTTTAAATATGTACCAGTTGCAAAAGTCTCTGAATATCTTCAACAGATTGAGTTCCGTGACGAAACCATGCATTGCAACCATTCCATAGCTGATAAAATTTCAAGATATTGTTCTCCCTATGATAACTCTAACCAGGAGTTCCATAATTTAGATACATGAAATAATGTAATATTTTGTGAAGAATATCCGCAATTTCGGCCTATAATGGTTTAAATTCATGTTTCTTGGTTATTAAAGTATATTATTAATACTTTAATGAATAGTGTCTGCTACTATTAAAAAGGCAAAAATTGTATGATAATCTTCGATATAACCATATATATAATACACTTTTTTCATACGATGCTACTTTTTAAAAAAATATACTCTCCATCGTAGGTCCATTTCATTTTATTTTTATTACAATGCAATTGTCACTCATGAAGTACTACCGCTTACTTATCAGTGACTGCAATTGAATAGGTTTTGTAATGAGATCCAAGTAAAAATATTTTTCTAATGCAGATAATTTGCTTTATCTTAAGTGTTTCCATAATTTTGACCACTAGTGCATATACAAGGTCGGCCAAAAAAATCACATGAAGTTTCATCAGTTTGTATTTCATGAACGGTGCAGCATTTTGGAACTCCAGTGCCATCATAAGAAAGGGCATTTTCATTAGCTTTAAAATGATACACAATTCATCTACAAAAGATAAGAGGAAAGCTTTGAAGACGTTGGTTTTTCAAACCCCTTGCGAAACGTAAGCTGCCGCACCTGCGGACATGCATCGGCCAGGCCGCGCAGCGGGTAACTTGTCCGTTACACGGTACAGTGTTGTGTAGCATATAGCTACTATTTCAAGCAGCTTTCTTTTGCTTTGGAACTTTGAAGCTGCACGATGGCGTTCAGTGAATAAGGTGAAGCCCTCTCTCAGGTCTTGCATGAGAAACAATGCTCTGGATCAAGTAATTAATGCGTTTTCTAATCATAGAGGGCAATGTCATTTTCTTCCAACTTTTAAAACAGTGATCATTCGGAAATAATTTTTAAATTTGAAATAAAAGTTGCTTCATTTCAGAGCCAATAGATTGTTCTTCTCAATGAGTCCTCCCTCATTCCTCTACCTCTAACCAGTCCTGATATATAAGCTGTAAAATTCGGTGCGTTTTTTGACCAACTCTGTATATTGACAACATTTTAAGGAAGCTATTAGAGAGATTTTTCAAGATAATTTCCATACGACAAGTACCAGAATTTATTCATTGCTTCCGTTTGGTAAAATCACATTCTATCTAATATATCTGATTGGAAAGAAAGTTCTCGGAATTTCATGAACAATTATTACAACCCAGTTTATTTAAAAGCAAAATCATCTCAATCATGAATGTAATCACCATTGGCCTCTATCACTTCACGCCAACGTTTATGCAAACTATGGATGCCATTCCAATAGAACTCTGGCGGCTGCGCTACGAAAAAGTTGGCCAAATCGGTTTTCANCAGTGCCTCCTGCAAGGCAGAGTTATCAAACTCCGAAGGACGACCGGTGCGTGGCTGGTCTTCCAGGCTTTCATTTCCTTTCTGGAAGCGACTGTACCAATCATCTTTGTAATAATATACGGTTGTATGCCGAAGGACACGACCTACTTATAAACACACGCAGAACATTCTAGCATGCTCTGGAAAAAAATTGTACTGGATATTCAAGAAATTCCGAGAACTTTCTTTCCAATCAGATATATAGATGATGGTGACTGACTGACTGACTGACTGACGCTAATTCTAACCATGTTCTAGAAGGGTTAGAAATCTGAAACTTGGTACACATATACCTTTTGGTATGTAGAGTTCAGAAAAAATCCGACTTTGGAGGTACATGCCCTGGGGGTACAAATTTTGGGGGGAAACGATTTTCTTGAAATATATTTTGTGACAGATGAGGATGGCATTCAGAGAGTCAACTGGATGAGCTGGGTTCGGTGGTGTAGTGGTACCATATCCTACTGGTGATCAGAAGGTCCGGGTTCAATTCTCGGCCGTTCCGGGCTTTATTTTGCCCTTTTTTGCCTTCCATGTCCTGTTACTCATTCCCCTCCATAACATTATTTTTGCTTGAGTAAAACAGAGACACATGGAAAAATGAAACTTTGCATGGACGTGCCTACCGAAACGATGATTTCAGGAAAAATCCAAAATTTCAGATCTTTGCCCTGGTGGCATATTTTCAGGAACCAAGGTATTCAAGTCTTTTTTTTATTGTCCTTGCGTATTGAGATAGTGTGGGAACAGGAAACTTGGTACAAAACTACCTATTGGGATACTGCAGAAAACATCAGACTTTGGAAGTAATTGTTCTGGGGGGCACACATTTAAAAGGGAGATGTTTTCAAATAATTTCTTAGTATCGTTTGAAACTGATGAACATGGAAAGCTCAAACTTAGCATAAATGAGACAACTGAAACAAGGTGTTAAATAAAAATGTTAAGTCTTGGTACATTCCCTAGAGGCATTTTTTCGAGGTGCGATGTTTAGAAAGAAATATTGTCGTGGCGAATTGGACAACAATGGAAAGGTGAAACTTAGCACACGCATAAGTGACATGATATAACTGAGCTGAGGGAGTCATCAGTTTTCATGGTGCATCCCCAACGGACATAGCGTTAGGGTGGGCCGACTTTTCCAAACATGTTTTTTCACCAGCGAAAAGGGCAAACGTTTAATATTGAAACATTGTGGGCATGTAGTTCACTGAGGATGGATTTTGGTAAGAAAAAGATGGTCCGTTTCGGTTAAAAGGGCTCAGGGCACATATATTCCAAATGGCGTATTTTCACAAGTTTTATTTTATTTCATGGCATAAAGCCATACAGGCTGCCATAGAGTCCTTCCGGAAGAATATAAAATCAACGATAAAGTTCTCTACAATCGAACTGGAATTTTCGCCTTGAAACTCAGAAGTAATGAGCTCATGTGTCTGCTGCCTTGCCCCCCCCCCCCCCCCCCAGATGGAGTTGTAGGCTTAACTCAGAAGTAATGAGCTCATGTGTCTGCTGCCTTGCCCCCCCCCCCCCCTCCCAGATGGAGTTGTAGGCTTACGCCATTCTCATGAACACGTTCTTTCCTCCTGAGTTATTGAAGGAAGTGTGTGTTATTGCTACGTTGTTCACTCTAGAGGAATTCAGATTTCGGAGTGAGGGAGGGGGGGATACACGCCCTGGGGACAAATTTCGCAGGCCTAGGACTACCCTATCTATGGACACTTGGGCCAATACTACTCTCATGCACACTCCCCAAAGGAAACGGGATGGAAAATAAGTAGCTGTTGCCTTGCATACTACAGATACAGTTCGACATTGGCGGTACTCGCCCTGATGAGAATGATTCAGCAAGCTTATATCCAACCCTTGGACGAATGCTCAAGCCTACATTGATCTTTAATATTAGCCATATTAGCGTTAAAACACTCAAGTGCCTTATGTGGTTCATATTGCTGCTATTACTCCTACTTTTTTGGAGATAGATATGCTATTAAGAGTGCCACGGCCATAGACAGGAATTGAATGCACCAATGGGACATTAAACGACACACTTACAATTGATAATTTGTGATCCTTATGCTACAAATGACATGGCGTCATTAAGAATATGTTCTTGGACACCTTTAATTTAAAGGAGCGAGAATTGAACCCATGAACAAAGGAGTTTGACCGCTTTAGTAAGGATGAGCATCATAAACGGATGCCTTAGATCGCAGAGCGCCGAAGGCGCGTCCATAGCGAGTTTGTTTGCCCTTCGGGCAAACAAACTCGCTAGTAATAAATATGTTGCGATGGCACTCCCATAGCCAAAGCAGGATTAAGTCTCCATAGATTCAAAAGAGAATGCGTTAAGGCAGCTTATCCTACCTGTCTTTCTTGAATGAATTCCTGGGCAGCCATCTTTAGGTTTAGGAAGTCTTCCTCGTGTCCTGTCACATCTTCCACCAATTTTTTTGTGACATCAGCATGGGATTCAACATTTGGACTATCATAGAGGGCTTGTTGTTTGGCTTTAAGCGTTATATTTGCATTAGTTTGCCAGGCATCAAATGTGTCCAGCTCTATCCTGTAAGCAGAGCATGATTACAGGAGAGCCGCCGAAAAAAGCAGAACAATAATTGTGAGAATAAGTTTGAAAATTGTGAGAATGTTTACATACTGATATTTGCTGAGCTTGTCAGCAGCAGAATGCAAGCAGTTGAAAAGCTTTTTGCTATAGTCCCTAGCAGAATCGTAACGTAGTTTCAGCTTCACTCCATTGCCACTTGAAGAAGTCGTGTCAGCAAGCGAAGGAAGTTCTTGTCCTTCGTCAATGCTGCTTTGCATCTGGGCAACTGCATCGTATATGTGATGGCCAAGTTCCTCGATGTTTCTTGCAACTTTCTGGGTGAAAATCAGCAAATTCGTTTAAATCGTCATTCTGGACAAGTCTGACGACTTTGCAAAAGCCAACCTGGAAGGCATCAATCTGGTTCCGCAATTCATCAATGTTTTCCTTGATCGGTTCCTGCTTAGCAAGCATCACCTCAGCATTTTTTACCATTGCAATAAATGCACATACTTTCTCCTCACCAAACCTGTCCACATCCATCGTCTGTTTTGAGGCGAAAATAAGCATTATTAGCATGAATAGGAAAACAGGAACAAATGTTTGTGATTAATTACGTTGGCCATAATTGCATTAAAAAGTTGCATCATTCCTGCACGGCTTGCGCATTCATCAAGCGCGGAAAAAAACCTATAATTTTAGGAGATAAAAATTGAAACCATGCAGATACATTGTAGGAATTGAATAATATTTAGGACTGGGCGATATAGATCTTTCATGGCCGGAGTTCAAGGGGGGGGGGGGGGTGGCGTCGCAAGAATTTCAAGACGAAAACACTTCTTTTTGCGAATGGATTCCAATAATCCATTGGGGAATGAAGGCACACTACATTCGTGATATAGGTAACGGTTCAAAAGCAAAGTAGTATACAATTTCGATGTTTTTCGTCACACGAAATTCTCTTGCAAATTGCTTCCAACTAATGATTGAATGGCCTTTTTTTGCGGCGGGACTCGACCTATCACCCCAATCTGATTGAGAATACTTGCGCGCCTCATGCAAGATATTGGTCATATTCTCAGAATGTGGAATTTATTCCTGCAGCGAAGACATACTAATTTTTTATATTATGGGCGTATATTGCATTAATTGTGAGAATGAAACTTGAAGGCATTCCTCAACACAGACCTCCTATGAGGGTGAATTATTAGATTCCAGTCAGATTCACTGCTCCTTTGCGTCACCCACAAAATAAACCTTAATTCAATGGTGATAAAAGGCTAGCGAAAACCGAGTGATTACTTTCAAAAAACACCTCAGGTAATTTTCCTGGAAAGGAAAGCATTTAAAGTAGGATTGCAGCTCGACGATTTTGTCAAGGTCGATAGGCAGTCTCTTCACTTACCTTAGCCTTTATTATTTTAAAATAGAAACGAACTAGCGGCCTGCGGCCGCTTCACCGAATATGTTTGCATAAAGATATGAGTTTAGTTCAGTTCGAAACGAACTGTGAACATTTTCTAGCAAACCTCAAAAAGTCCGAAACTGTTGCTTCTCAGCTAATTTGATTATATGGAGACAGCGCCACACAATAAATCACGAATAGAGGAATGAACGATAAAAGGAAAGACCATCGTACTCTGATTGATTTTGAAACAATAAGGGCTATTTCCACGAACTTGCGTGACTTTAGCACTGAAGGAAGCAAATACATGTGCGACACGGTACTGACAAATAAACTATTGAAAATTCCTCGACACCGAATCATTACCAGTGAGCAACACTTTCAGAGTCTCAGGGTTATATGTGAGTAGCGGGAAGAACACCTTTCCGTTGTGGCAGCAACTATGAAGCAAATGACCCCTTCCTGCAGCAAAATGTACGGACTGACAGCGCTAGTTGCGGCATACTACAGTCATTCGACCCAAGTCATGAAACTGGACTGGAGGAGCATTAGTGGTACCCGCAACAGCATCTCGTTCAAAAGCAGGTCGAGCTTGACGTCGGCGTTTCTTGTCTCAAGTTGTGCAACAGGCTTTCTTATTCCTGCACTCAGCATTCGCTGGTTCCCGCTATGTCGCGCTTTACGCAGCACTACGCTGCCTACGCGCAGCATTCACTACTGCGCGCTGTTTATCATTTACTCTCGCCCAACAACCACCGCGGCAAACATTTCACAAAGCCTTGTTTTCTGTAGTTCCCACACCAACTGTGGTTTCATATTGATTTCCGCGTCAACATCAATCGTTTCATCTGCGGCGACTGCCTCAACAACGTTCTGTGCAGCACCCAACAACATTTCTTCATCAGGATGAATCACATCATCACGAAGATCGTCACCATCAGGAGCGGGCCGTTTGCACGACGTATGAAACAGAGTTTACGTTATTAATTTTGAGGTCATCAATCGTGGAAACTAAAAAAAAACGGCCATGACATGATACGCAAACAGAAAAGCATTCTATAGTTGCGACAGCGCGAACCGCCACAACTGATTAAAAAATGTAATGCACCAAATATAGTAATGCACCAACGTCGTATGCATTCAATTGGCTAGCCTACAGTCAATTGATGGAAATCCGATACGCATTCGCACAAACCTGCATTACGATTCAAGATTCAAGATAGTGATAACAAGAGGCGATTTCACCCATTTCGATATCATGTGTCGAGGTCGAGCGCTCCTTAATTTTAGGGTAGGCCTACCCTAAAATTAACACGTTGGCGACAATGCGTCCTGATGCCAGGACGCAGATTTTTTGCCACGTGGGACAATGCGTCCTATTTTGTCAAAAAATGCGTCCTGCCATCAGGACGCATGGTTCCAGAAAACAGCTTTTTTGCTGAGTTTTTTTTTAATTTGAATTTTTTGGAATTTTTATCAGTAATTATGAAATCATAATCTTCTGGAACGTTCGTGATCGCTAGATACTCGATATCTGCGCACAAGACTTTTTTGGAACCTGCATCCTGCCATCAGGACGCATTGTCCCACGTGGCAAAAAATCTGCGTCCTGGCATCAGGACGCATTGTCCCACGTGGCAAAAAATCTGCGTCCTGGCATCAGGACGCATTGTCGCCAACGTGTTAATTTTAGGGTAGGCCTAACCCTCTTCAAGCCAACTATATTTCTATTTTTGTTTTAGCTTGGTTTTCTTTGTTATTTTTTTGACTATCTTAGTTGCTTACTGTCTAGTACCTAATGTCAACATTTCCCCCCACCATTTGGCCTGTCAATGAAAGCACCCAGTTTCTTCGTCATGTAACTTCGTCATGTAACACATTCCTTGTTTTTACCACTCTGAAAGTAAAGAAATCCTGTCTCGACCTGAGCCGCACCTACGGTTTGCACTACTTCAGTTGGTTACATCTCATTCTCTTCCTGCCATCAAACTGGAAAAACCTACGACACTCGACATTATCTATTCCTTTAATTACTGTATCTTGACAGCCTGGATGAGATCGTCCAGCTCATTAAAGTTCGTTCGAGAGAGTACCGTCCCAACCTTCTAAACGCTTCTCGTATGATAGTCCCCTGACTTCCTTAATCATTCTTGTGGCTCTCCTCTGTACTCAAGCGCCAAGAAATCGTCCTGATTTATAAGCCTCCAAAACTGAATGCAATATTCCCACTTGGGTTTCATCAGCGCCACATACAACGGAAAAATAACACACGAAGTCCTACTTGCAACCGACCGACGAATGTAACCTAGAATCCTGATGCATTTGGCTACCGTCGCTTGCGCGTGGGAGGAAAAGTTGAGGTCCTCATCGATAGAATCTCCTAAATCTCTCTCTCCGTTTGCCTCATCAAATTTAACATCGCCGAACGTGTCGAGACCTACTGTTGTTTCGACCGATGTGGAGAACTTTACACTTACTTTTATTAAACCTCATGAGCCATTTCTTGCTCCACTCGTCCAAAAGACTTAAATCTCGCTCGGCTCTAGCCCTATCCGCCTCCCCCCCTTTGGTAAAACCTATCTTGGTGTCGTCGGCAAATTTACTTATCTTACCCTCTACGCCGAGATCCAAATCGTTTATGGTAGACCAAAAATAGAAGCGGTCCAAGGACCTCGCCTTGTGGGACACCGCTTGCGACTCCGACCTCCTTCGACGCTTCCCCATATATCATCATCACTCGGGTGATTCCATTTTAAATCAGGCAGGACCCGTCAGGTCATAGTCTTTGATTTTTTTCAAAGAAATATATGTGATCCCCCCTTTCAAATGATGGAAAATAGTATATTATTTACCTCTATATCTGCAATAGTGTCGGAGAAAAAAATTCACAAGTGCAGGGCTCTAAAAAGGGCGACTTAGGAAATTCCTGTTTTCTCCCACTTTCAATTTGCTGTATCTCCTAAAGTAATAGGCATGGAATCCTGGAAATTTTTTCTTGCATACTTGAATGTACGTCTTGTGGAAGAATTTTAGAAAATTCTAAATTATAATTTTAGAAATAAATAATTTGGAATTTTTAAAAGTGACGAAACTGCTGAATTTGCTGGTTTATGTTAAATTTTTTTGCCAGTTAAATTCGTATCCCATCTTGAATCAAGTATATTTTCATGAATTATATACATTCGTGCATCTCTTGTTGTCATTTGGCATTCGTATCATTAATGCTTAATTTAATATTAATTTGCAACTTGTGTCAATTTCTGAAAAATGGGTGAAAAAGAAATTTTTTTTTCTCAAAAAACCCATCTTTGATTTTCCTCATTTCTTGCTTGTTGATACTAGAAAGCCCCAGTTACAGCGTGGTATAAAAACTTCCTCTTCGATTTGCCTCATTACCAAGTTATTGATTTTTAAACATGCACATTTTCCGACGACGTTGAGGGAAACAACGGACGCGCAATCGTGATTTGATTTTTAGCCGTATGTGTCCAGTATGTGGCCAGCCGTATGTGGAGATGATAAATTCGACAATATCATCTTCACATCTACCCTGATGCAATGATCAAATTGCGTAACATGTTAAAAATACACCACCTAGACCACGTGATTCTTCCTCTGTGCAGCCGGCTTGGAATCGCGCTTACCGTCAGCTGCATCCCTCACCTCGCATCCTGACACGTCCTGTTACGCCCCTCCCACTAATGCCCTAGTAGTCTACTTCAACCTCCCCATGATGATTTCAGAGCCAGACGTTTGAGTGTTGCTTGTCTCAAAGTCGAGGACCACCGACACTTGTTCGGCACACCACCAACCAGACCTAATCTCTAACGTGTTCGATCCTTGCATCGGGGGTTTGGCTGACAGAAACCTGGGCTCCTGAATATTTTCCCATTGCTGCCTCAAAACGCCTGACTTTCAAGTCACAGGCAAGGACCCGCGTTATCCCTCTCCTCTTCAAAACGGCCTAATTCTTTCCTGTCGACCGCACACCTGCTCTCTCCCCTCCTTCCGATCCTTAATCCAAGTCGACCTCCCTCAACCCGTGAAACCTGTTTCGATCTCATTTACTATCTCCTGCGATAGCTAAGCCTTCACCCCCATTTACGACCTGAGCCCAATGACTAGCCACCTGGGAGTCGGCACTCGCCGTGTTGTCAAAGGACGAAAGGGTCACCCTCCCAGTAAAGTCCGGAAGGGTGGGGAACCCCCGGAGTGCCTCCT